ACGTCTACACTTCCCATGGGGCCCACCTTGGTCGCGGCCCCTGCCACAGGTTGCTGGAGCTCACACATGGCTTGCAGAGAGACTGGTGACATCTCCCCACCTGCCCCCACGGGTGCTCATGCCCTTCTGCACCCTGGAAGGGGAGAACTGGCCACGTGCAGGCCCCATGCATTGCACACACTGCTGCTCCATGCCTAGAGCCAGTTTGCCCGGGCGCCAAGCAGCACCACTGGCACATCCCCTGCACTGGGCTGACAGCCTCTGAGACAGGGGGTTGCAAGAAGCATTGCAAAGGCTACCAAGGACCATCTTCCCTCCTTCACATCCCCCTGCTTTGAGCGCAAGTTACTCTGCTCACAGTTCACATATGGCCATGAAATCCCAAACAACATGACAACAGGATTCATGGACAGAGGATGCTGCATCGGACTGGACCACCAGCTCGTCTTCCATGACATCCACACTGGTGCTGTGCACACTTCTCCAGGAAAGTGATGGGCTTGTCATGATACAAAGCTGGCCTGACATGCCAGTACAGGGTGGGGAGCACTGTTTTATATGCCCAGTTTATTTGAAATGGCCTGCTCAGAGGCAGCAGCTAATGCCTCACGCCTCACAATGGGATGAGTGGAGAGCAGTGATCTTTGCAGGGCTTCTTCCTGATCTCCTAAAAGGAGGTTGTTTCTTTTAAGAACGCAGGGAGACTTTTGGAGCAAACGAGACTACTTGTGGTTCCAGGAGCCAGCAGGCTTCCCAGCTGCCTGGATTCGTCCCTGACAGCCTACGTTAAAAGGTTTTCGCTGGGTACTGATGATAGAGTGCAACTGGACCACTATGAGCCTAGTAGCGTGGGGTTTGTGCTTGGGTAACGTAGGGAAATAAGACGACGAATTCTCTGCCCTGGGTCTGCCTCTCTGTCCTCATCCCTGCTGTACCTGGCACTGGGTGCACTCAGGCGCTGACTCGGGTGCTGTGTTCATGGCATGTGCTTCTGCGCCTGGCTCCGAGTCCAGGGTGCAAAGCTGGGGTAGGGCAAGGCCAAGACCAAAGCACAAACAAGAGGTTTCACTGCTGTGAGGAGGACCATTCCTCTACATGGGGAACTGAAACTGAAGTAGCACGCACAAAACAGCTCAGCAGAGCTCCAGGCACCTGTGCAAACCACTGCAGCACTTGCACAAGCAAAATGATGCATGTCAAGATTCAGATAAAGCAGGCAGAGGGAGGAAAGGTTCAAATCCCATCAGGTATAACCAGCTGGCAGAGCACAGTGAGGCTCATGCAAGCAGGAGTATCCAAGGGGAACAGTCACGCTGTGGAAACACTGCCCTTTAATGCTGCTGGGGACCTGCATCCCCACTGTCAAGAGCACTGCAGTATTGCTCGGGCCCCACACCTCCACTCAGAGGGCTACAGTATTGTTTGGGACCCACACATCCACCCAATCGCTGCAATGCCCCTGGGAACCTACACCTCCCCAAGTACTGCAATAACTCGGGAGACCTGATCCTCATCTTCCCGAAAGCTACAACACTGCCAGGGAGTTGATCCTCTTCCCTGAGCACTGCAGTACTGCTGAAGCCCTGCCATGCACTACACGGGAGAGAAAGAGCCTACAACACACCAAACACAGCCCTACGGTAGTATAAAGTGCACATTGCCTACTCATCAGCAGTTGCACACTGCACAGCACGTTCATGACATGGCCACGTACACAGACTGTGCTCACGGCACTGCACATGACTTATTCCTGCATTGAGAGGATTCTCATAGTGGGTTTGGGGCTGGAATGAGTGTTGCAAGTTGCATAATCTGTCCTGCCTGGGTTAGACCTTCTGCCTTTCCCTGTGTCATATATGGGTTTGGCTCTCCATCCCAGCCTAGATATCCTCTCCAAACATTAGCACCTTACCTACAACCTTGGGCAATTTCTGGCGGCGCAGGGGAATTCGGGGGAGTTTCATGCTGATTCGACTGAAACGTCCACATAAACATCTTGGTGTTTTCTTGGCTGCTGCTGGGTCCTGGTTTGCACTGCAAGAAAAGACAGCACTCCCATCAGAAAGATGGCAGGACATAAGCCAGGGCAACTGTACCTGCTCTGCTGGGGGTGGCAAGGGCATAACGTTTTTTATGGAATAATATACCAAGTCCTGGTGCCAGAGGTTCAGGGCTGTTGCAGATTCAGAGGTTTCAGAGAAGAGCCAGGACAGGAACTGAGAGATCACAAAACACAAGCTGCAGCAAGGGACCCCAGGAGCACAGTCCACATTGCTTTTCCCCAGAGGAGTTTTAAACTCAAGCACAGTGGTGGCTCAAGGCAGGAACACACCCAGGATACACACGGTCAGACACTCACTGCTGTTGCTTTCAGCCTTACGTATCAGTAGGCACGTGTCAGGCATGTCATGCTGGGACTCGGAGCAGCCCAAAAGCCGAGTGCCTCATAGAGGGCAGGACACCGGCAGTCCTGCCTCAAAACACCCACAGGGCCCAGCTAAGCTCCTGAATCATATGATTAAGAAAAAAACAAACAAACACGTGGCCCTTCTTTATTTGCTCTCTGGTTTTGAAGCCTCTTGGGGTTGAGCTTTCAAGCAATTATCTGCAGCCACAAGAGCTAGAGGCTTAATGTGTTTATTAAATTCAACCTGAAATGCTCTCATCTCCACAGCGCTGCACGGGCCAGGGCAGGACGCATTTTCCCTCTGTCCATGGCATGCGTGGCTGCTTGCGTGGTAGGAAGCGGAGGCCCACTGGCTGGCCTGGCTCGCTGCTTGCCTGTGCAGGTTGCCAAGTGGTCGCTTGCTCAAGAGCTGGGGAGGCCACAGCCAGGCAGCTCCCACCACTGAGAAGCACCACAGGTGCTCGGGCAGCCTGGTGCAGGAGCCATTGCTTGCTTTCCCAACGACTCTCTGCCCTATGTCCAGTGCCAGTGGCTGCAAAGATGTTTTGGGATGGGAGGAGCAGAAGGAGAAGGCAACCCCTCTCTGGTACGTTCCTGCCCTACAATGTTGTGGGACTTAGCATTAACCTCTGGTGCAAGCCAAGACACTGGGTGTGACCCCCCAGCTCTGTGGCTGTGGCTTCTTGTGCAACTGGACACATGGAAAGCTACTGGCAGGAGATGGGGAGAGGGACTAGGTGATGGAAAAGGGAAGGCGCCCAGCCTCTGGGAGCAGAGCTTGGCTGCCCAGCAGCCTGGCACGGCCATGACATGGCATGGGGTGAGTCACCAACGCACGCCCCGCCAACATGGCTCTGCTCTGAGCTCCCAGAACCACAAAAGCCTTGGAAGAGGCCACCCCACCACGTCTGTATGTGGCCCGACAGAGCTCTGCCTAACTGGGAGCACAAGGCTCCACTCCAATGGGAGTGGGAGATGAGACTGCTCCTGGAGCAGAGCATGCAAAAAAAAAAACAACCCCAAACCCAAAAAAGCCAAAAAGCAGATGAGGGGGGTCATAGCCACTGTGCTGGGAGGGGACAGTGCTCACTTTGCAGGGCTGCCCTGGTGTTGTACACCGTGTGTGTGTGCTCCGCCGGCAGCTCCATTTTGCTGCTCCATGGCACCGGCAGCGAGATCCGAGCTTTCCCAGCCTAGCAGGGCTCTCTCAGCTGGCAGGGGCATTCACCACTTGAGCTCTGTGCTGGGGCAGGAGCACCAGGCAAACGGTGCCCCGCACGGAGCCAGGTCAGCCCCGCAGAGCCGGGGAGCCCAGCACACCACGGACAAAGGAAACTATTTTGAGTGATTTCCCACGAAATACTTCTTAAAGAGAGCCTGTGTTTGTGAAGTGGCTTCTTTTATCTGCAGGATAATTACATGCAGACCACAGGCTCTCCAAACCAGATGTACTGGACTGGAATTTAATTGGCACAGCTGCCAAATGGAGGCTTCCGGAAAATTCCCATGCAGCAGCCGACGGCATGAGGCGCAGCCGCAGTGCGGGGAGGTTTTTTCCGCAGTTATTTAAGCTGGAAGAGCTCTCCCAGCCCCCTCCTCCTTAAGAAGACAGCACAAAGCTTCCCACAGAAAAATGGCTGCCTTCTGCCTGCTGCGAGCTCTACTGCTGTCGGACCTACGTCACGAGTTTCGGCAGACCCAGAGAGAGAGCCTTCGAGGGGAACTGTGCCCCGTCCCTGTTCAGATGACAGAGGCAGGAGGCACCGTGAGGTGACTTCCCTTGCTAGCAGGTTGCAATTTCTGCTTCGCTCCTGAGCATGGAGCCCAAGCGGTGGAAGACGTCCCCATGCCGGGTGCCTGTGCCTCAGAGAGAGGTGGCACAAGCGGAGTAGCTGGTAACCCAGTGGGCCACGAGCGTGGTGGCACATGCTCCCCGAAGCCGGAGATGATGGGGCAGCAGGGCCATGCAGGATTGTAGCTTTGCAGGGCAGAGGAAGCTTAATTTGCCTGACCAGGTTACCCGGTGTTCACAGCTCCTCAGTATCTGCATGGCTGCCTCCAGCGGTAAAAATTTCTCTTGAGCATCCTACTGCCAAGGCAGCCTCAGGCAAGCAGCACTTTAAGGAGTGGGGGCAAGGGGGACTCATTTGACTCCACAGACTGAACGATTCATGTCCAACCACCCTGCAAAAGTGTGCTCTTCAGAGCTGTCAAAAGTGCAGACATCTTGACTTTGCTGCAGGCACTGATTTGAAAACTTCTGCCTTGAAAGACTGCTCGAATGACCTCTGTGCCAGCAGCACCCTCTGGATTGCCTTAGTTTGGCCAACAAACACAGAAATTGGTCAATTTTCTTTTTGATTAAATCTATACAATTGGAAATACTCCACACTTCTGGGTGAGTTTGGGAGAAAGCGTTCAACTGAATTTCCCTGAGCTTAGCAAATATTTCTTTTCTGTGGGTTTAGTAGGAGCCATGAGGCTGCATGGCAGGATACAGGCATTAGCTCTCCATGACATGCAGTAAAACTGCCCCTTTTTCTCCTAAGTTATACTCACTTGACTCTTTTTGCTGGTCCAGGTTTGTCATTCCGCTGCCTCGAACATTCCCACGGGGTGGGACAAAAATACAAAACAGTGCTGGGCACTGGACAAGTAGTGCTTAGGGTACAGCAGGCTGTGTGCCTCCCCCAAAGACCCTTTGCCAGTTGCCAGCGAACCCGCTCACACCTCAGGGTCCTGCTACCAGCGCCACGGTCCCGGCGGGCATGAGCTGCCAACAGCACTGCTGTTTCCAAGCACCAGCACACTGTGCTGCAGCCCCCTCGTCGACCCCGCCACAAGCTGGCTTTGGTCACGGGCTGTAACACCTCTTGTCCTCGTTGTAACACATCACTGCTGCCCCAGACTGCATCTCCCAACTTTGCCCGCTCTGCTGCAGCCAAGTGCGGCCTCAACCCCACTGTACACCAAGGAGACCAGAGTGGGAGAGACCAGCCCAGAGCCACAGCTGTGTTCAGCTTTTCTACCCAACCCAAGAAGCCCCATGGAGAGCCGAGGGCAGCAGCACTCGAAGGCTGTCCCTCACCAGTCACAGCCCTGCCGCTCTGGGGTGCAACGATGTCCCCAGCTCCCCCCAGATCTGCAGGGCCTAGCTGCACCCTGCTGACTCAGAGGCTGCAGCAGAAACTGGCTGGACTGGGACTGAACCCCAAAAACCTCTGGGAACACTGCACTGTGCAGCTTGGATCCCAGCACTCACCCATGGACTTCGTCTTTCTTGCGACAGACGCAGCAGCAGCAGAGCAGCGAGAGTAGGAGGATGAGCAGCAATGCCAGCAGGGCTCCTGCCCCGATCACCCCCATCCGCTGGTTGGCCTCTGCAAGATAGACCAGGCGCTGTTAGCTGCAGTGCTGGGAGCCTGAGGCTGGGGAAGGAGGGAGGAAAAAGCAAGGAGTGCATGCAAACAGGAGCTCCAAATGCAACCGCATCAAGAGCCCAGCCGTTAACTCAGTGATAACTCGCAAGCCCTCTGCAAGCCTTGCTTTCCTGTTCGTGCTTGCAGGCTAGGGAAGCCCCCGGGTCCTGGTGTGCCAGGGGATGCCCCAATCCACACTCGGTGGCACTCACCCATGTGGCAGGCGCCTGTCAGCGGATCACAGGTGTCATCATGGCAGATGCAGGCCTCAGCGCAGTTGGCTCCATAGTGGCCTGGCGGGCAAGTCAGGTTACAGCTGGGAAGGGAAGGGGCCATGTTGGAGCGGTCCAAGTTCCCGCCAAGCCCAAGCATCGCTGCGAGGGCTGCTCTGCCCTCACCAGGCTGGCTGGCTACTTCTCTCTCCTAAAACCTCCGAAAACTCAGGCCCTGTGTCAGCGCAGGCTAGGGTCGCGCTTCTCCAGGCTGCTCTCCGATGCAGGTTTCCTCCTTTGGAACCCTGCTCATTGCGATCCCTCATGACTCACCCACCTGCCAAGAGGCTTTTCTAGTCCCCTGCCTGCTTGGGGCATTTGGGCCAGCTCTGGCTCAGATGCTTTTGCTGTCTGTCCTCCACACAGCTAGATATTCCTCCTCCACTCCTGCTTATTTTGCAAGGCTGTGCAATTAAGTTCATGGCATAGCAGTTATGGAAGGTCATTAGCCCATCAGTCACACTTAAAGATACACCAGAGAGCAACAACTTAGTCCTAAGAGTCACGTGCATGGTTTCTAACTCAGCTATTTCATCGGTAATGTGGTCTCAGTACCCTGCTGGGCTGGCTCTATGCATCTCCCAAAGCACGTGCTGAGTGGAGCCCTTCCACTGCAGCCCACGATCTTGGAAGACTCCCAGATTTTTCTGCCAGAAGGGAAAACAACTGACCAACTCCTAGAAGAGATGGCTGAGGCATCTGCTTTGTCAAGCCAAATCTTGCTTCAGCTGAGCCCGGCATCAATTCTCCTCAGACAAAATGACTGCTCCTGGGAGAAGCCAGCCATCTGCTCTCTGGTCAACCTTCACCCCCTAGGTGAGGGGCTCATGCAGAAACAGGGCTGCTACCTACAAACATCAGCACTTGAGCATGGAAAATATGTGCTAAACACATGTGAAAGCACTCAGGGCTCTTGCTCTCTGCTGGTGGCATTTTGCTCTTGGACAAGGTGAGACCTGCAGCACCTGTCTCTACCCCAGCACGCCCCCCACTAGGGTTACTGTCAGGGAAAACGACAGCTGAGAGACACAAAATGCCTTTCTTTTCTAACATACTTTATTCAACAGCGGTCTGGTTGATATTCAGAAATATGGCTGAGCTGGGATGCCTTCTCACGAGTAAACCTGTCACTTCACAGTGAAGACGCTCTAGAAAGCAAACAGCAGCCTGCAGGTTTGCTTCTGAGACGGATCTGCCCATGCAGAGCAGAGACTGCACACACAACCACACATCCATAGCCTCTGGGATTTTTAAAGGAAATGTTTTCATTTTTTTCTTTGAAATTAAGTGTCTACAACAGCCACAGAAAGCATAGCCAAGGACTTTAATTATAGGAATTCAGACATAATTTGAATGGAGCAAATCAAACACTAAGCAAAACAAAAACAGCCTACGTCATGATCCAACGGCTCCAGAATCAGAGTGGAGTCACAGCCAAAGCCAGCACTGCCAGAAAAGAGGGGCAGAGCTGCCTAGAGCTCACTTCCTACAGTCTGCCTCTGCCAGCTCATCCTAAATGCTGCCCTAGGAGCTCTCCGGTGTTCAGAAATCACTGCCAATCTTCTGCAGGAAGAGCCAAGTACAGAATGAGGTGTGTGAGACCACAAAGGGTGAAGCTCACCTCACCAGCAGTGGGACAGGTACCACGATGGAGAATTTGGATGGATTTAAGGAGTGCTGCACCAAAGCTCTGCAGCAGCCCAGAGAAAGCAGCAACAACAAGCTCTACCTGCAAGGGGATAGGTGGCACTGCTGGACGCTGAACCCTTTGCCAGCTGCTCCCAGGTGGCATCAACCCAAAGAGAGACACTGCATGCCACGTGAGCCAGCCAGGCCCCAGCCCAAGCCCTGCTCTCCTGGGACCACCAGCAGACACATCTGCTCCATCTGACACGGTCCAGCCACCTCCAGATGCCCTCGGGCACTGTGGGACGTACAGCTGGGCTGGCCCTGACTAAAGACATTTCATGCTGCTTCAGCTTTCAAAGTTGCACCCTTGCACAGCCCCATGCCCACATGCCGCCACGTGCCTGTCACGGATGGGAGATTGATGCAGAGCCCACGCAGATGACCCAGCTGCTCAAAGCGGCTGGGCTGGGATAGCAAACGTGGCAGGACAGAGGGACGGAAGCAGTGATATTTTCTAGGCAGTCCAAGACACGACTCTTTAGTGCAGTTACCCAACACTTCTTGCGCTTGCAGCTGCCCCATCAGTTTGATCCAAATGTCTGTCCCAGGCTAACAGGTGTTGGGGGAGAAAAGAGTGAGGCAATTTTTTTCCAAGCAGGTCCAAACATCTCTGGGAATGATGCTGAGGAAATAAATTGCTTTGTGCACATTACAAACATTTTACCAGCCTTTCCTTTAGCATCCTTGTGACACATAGCTGAGAGGACACCCCTACAGAGTGAAGACATCCCTTTTGCCATCCTTTCAAAAACCTTCCTGTATTTGGCCAAATTATAAGCTTCTGAAAAAAATAGTAGTTTGCACATAGTCACAGAGATTTGCCTGACCACCAAGAAAATCCTCAAGCGTCCGTGCCCACTAGGCATGTACTGTTTTAGCACAACTTTCCCTGTGATTACAGCTCTGGGATACTGCCAGGGCACGGCCCTATCCTCCTGCCTGCTTTCTGCCCCTTCTCTCCTCACTTGCACCTTAGGGCCAGTTCCAGCAAGGACAAGAGCACCCCCATTCACTGTACCACAAAGTGCTGCAGAGGGGCCTTTAGCTCTCATTTGAGTTCTGCCTTCAATCACTGTGCCAAAAGTGGCGCCATGCAACATCCCCTTCCCTCCCCCCAAAAGGTTCCTGCTGTGCTGGAAATCTCTTACTTTCTACTTTTCTACCAAAGCACCAAAGAAAACCACAAATCTTAAGCATGGGCTTTCTAGGTTGGTTTTGCTTCCATAACGCTATTTCCCAGCCAGGCAGCTTCCACTATCATCTGTGCAGATCTTTCAGCATGCGCAGAAGAGCACAAATATTGCACAAATCCAAAAAATCCAACAGAAAAGCCAAGGAAGGGGCTTAGACATCCCCCTCCCTGGGCTGCTAGCTTCATTCCAGCATAGAAAGGTCTCGGAGCTCATGATAGGCCTCTCCAAAACATGGGCTTTTCTGTGCACTTGGAGGTTAAGTGGCACTTTCATCTAACACCACGCCACCATTTGCCTGGCTGAGCAGAGCTGCATGCACAGCAGGGTGTTATTTCGGAGGCTGGAGGTCAGGAACGGGCTCCTTGCTTCATCACGGCTCTTGACAGTGAGTCCCAAGAAAAAAAGTGAGAAAAATTCTCAAATACAAATGCTCCCCATGTCTGCTCTCTGAGAGAACTGCTGGCACAGGCTGGAAGCCAGCCAGGCAGACCCCCAAATCTTTCTTCAACTGCCATCAGCCTCACAGTTAACTGCCGGGAAAAGCAGACACATGGTGGGACCCTTGGGAAGCTCACTTCCATGCCTGAGCTGGATGGGAAACAGTTTCCTCATGTTTTCAAAAGACATTTCTGTTCCACATTGCAAAAAAAGAGAGAAGGAATGAGAACACAATCGACCACCCTCTTCCCCAGCTCAGAGGCAGTGGAAGGAACGGATGCTGAGCAAGCAAGGGCCATCTTTTCCTTTCTTTGGGGAGGGGGGAAAAGGGAAGGGGCCAGGGTTAGGGCTTATCCCTGTGATGTGGAACATCCAGGTTTGAGTTGCAGTTCAGAGTAGGAACAACACGCAAATGCCGTAACTGTGAGGCTATTTGCTATTCTGGGATGTAGTTTTCTCTCTCTCTCTCTCTCTCTCTTTCTTTTTGACTAGAAATTCCATCTTGAAAACACTTTTTAATGAAGGCATTTGTTTTTGCCAAACTGACATTTCCTAAAGTAAAATCCCTTTGTCAAGAATTCCTCACTGACTCTGGCCCATCCACCTATTACTGGGAGAGTGAGATTTATATCACAACTTGGTGGTATTTGACCGAAAGCCCTGAGGGCATTGCTTTCCCAGCCAGGGGCTCTCCAGGCGGGCATCTACTCTCCAAAGAACTCGAAGGTCCTTTGAATGGCATAAGATGCCACCACCCTCACCACTGTAAACATGTTTTCACCTGTCACAGTCAGTGCATAGGACCAGGTTCCCAGCATCTCCCCGGTTTACTTCCCAAATTGCAGATTTATCATGCTTGAGGATGAAGGTACCACAACTCAGGGAGCAAGCACTTTGCACTGTGCTCCACAAACCTCCCAAGAATTGTCATACAAGAATGCAAGAAGCCTTTTTCTATGAACTGCATAGGACCTAAGTCAGCAGTGTGCCA